GAGTCAGCTCTGTCTCCAGCTTTGCTCGTCCTCTTTCTCCCACTGGCATTTTATCTTGACCTCTTGGAGGTAATTGGGAGAGGTGATGGAGTGTGGATCCCTGGTCACTCTGGGGTGATCTCAGAACATGCACGGCCACTTCCTATCCAGTTCCTGAGTCACAATGCACTGTAGCAGGCGACCAGCTGCTCCGTGCAGGTTTTCTGATTTGTCTTACTCATCCCAAGATTGAAATCCACCCTTCCATGTGGTCACCCCCCCCCCTCGCCAGGCCAAGGACTCAGTGAAGAAAGTCCTTTCCAAGGAAGATTCCTCTTAATCCAAGACCGTGCCGAATTCCCCTGTTTCAAGGGTCACAAAGAGGCTTTGCCCAAAGTGAGACTGCTGGGGAGGGGGTGGGGGTGGGGGATGGGGGAGTTTTTCCTCCCTCAAACAGCAATTGGCCTGTGTAGTGACACTAGAGCGATCATGCACTGAAAGAATCTCAACTCTGTTAACTTGTTTAATCACCTGGAAAGCAAACTGCAAGAGGACCCCTGCTTCTGACAGATGCTCCTCCTCCTCTTTGTTCAAACCACATAAAGGTCATGCCCATCAGACTCTGGCCAACTCCACAAGACCAGGGTTATCACCAGACACCTGCATGGGCCAAAATGACCTTGTTCTAGAAGTCAGGGCCCTACCACCCCCCAACACACAAACATACTTTTCTTTTTTCTTTCTTTTCTTTTTTATTTTTATTTTTATTTTTATTTTTTTGCCGTGCCAGAGATTGAACCCAGGACCTTGTGCATGCTAGGCAAGTACTCTACCACTGAGCCATACCCCCAACCCCCGTCCCTTTTTAAAATGAACTATGTGTTCTTGGCTGGAAAAGCTCATTTATTCCCCAGCTATTTATTGAGCACTGACAACACATCAAGCACTGTTTCCAACATCAGGAACATCCACATGAGTAAGACAGAGACAACTTCCTGCCTTGAGGGGCTGATAATTTCTAGTCTGAATGAGATTGTAAAGAAATGTGTCTCCAGACTTCTCTTTCCAGAACTCTTCCCCCCACACCTCCATAGTGTCTATCCCCACCAAAGTGACAGGCACGCCTTTTATGCCAGCCCCCACAGCAAAGCAATCTCAGCTAACTTTACTGTGCATTTGTTAGTGCCAAACACGGTGCTAAGTGAGTTATATGTATTAGTTTCATTAGTCTTTACAACACTCTATGAAGGATACTCTCTCGTAGCCGCAGTTCATAGACAAGCAAACTGAGGCATATAGTCAAAGGGAATTACATAAGCCAGTAAGTGGCAGAGCCTGGGTCTGAATCTATGACCTTTGGCTGCAAAATCCACATTAGTAGTTGATAAGCTATTCCATCTTGCTCCTGTAGTAAAGTTTATTTGCTCTCTGCAGTAAAGTTCCTGAGTCTACATACTCCACAGCTCTGGAAACCCAGGGATAGCCATGGTGGGGGCTGCTCTTGGTTGCTCAACTGAGTGTGGCTCTGTTGCATCTATAGAGCACAGGTATGCTGGGGCTTGGTGTGGCAGCGTGTCTCAGTGAAACATCATTATTACTGGAGAGCCTCATCACCAGAGGCAATGGCTCCATGTGAGATTACTCCATGCTCCATTCACTAGGAAGGGAATGGTGGCCACAGAAGTCAGCTCCAACCCCTGGCCCAGAGTAGGCCATATGCTTTAAGACTTGACTCAATCTGGATGCTGGGCTCTCTAAAGGCCTGGTGCACATCACCCTGGGAGTTCCTTGCCCCTCCCTTGGCCTGGATCTCTGCTTCCTGCAACCAGAGGCACACATACCATGAAATCTGGAAAGCTCAAATGTTACCATAGGACCTTCCAAAGGCTATAACCTTTTGGTCACGTGTCTTTGTAACATTTGCAAAGGCACAAATTTTAACTGTCAAAAAAAGTTCTGTACATCTAAAAAATAAATATTAAAAAAAAAAAGTTCTCTTCCCACCTGCAGTCCATTAGGCAACATAGCATCCTGGGGCTGTGGATGTTTTGATGATATCTGGCTAAGTGGAATTGGAGTCACATTTCACTGAGGTTTAGGAGAGTGCATTCAAGTAATCCACACTCATGTTCATCTATAGTTATTTGTTCTCACATTGTAGAACACATACTCCCTCTACCCACTGGGCTGACTCACCAGATGAAGAGCAGAAGGAGCAAGGCCTGAATGGGTATCCCATTATGAGCCTGCCGTCCAGTGTTCAACACCGAGAAGCATGTGGATATGGAAAAGAGGGAGGATACAGTTTGAAGTGTACAGAGCCAGAGGAAGCTTAGTCCATGGGAAATTTTTTTTAACACCTTTATTCTATTTATTTATTTTTATGTGGTGCTGAGGATCAAACCCACTGTCTCACATGTGCTAGGCAAGTGCTCTACCACTGAGCCACAACCCCCAGCCCTTGAGTATTTCTTTGTGTAATCCACATGTTTATGCTTTCTGAGTCAAATTGTGTCTTATCTGATGCATCTTGCAAAAGGACCTGAAGAAATCAGAGAAAAGGAGCTGTACCATGCAGTTCGCAGTAAATATACTACGGGTTTTTTTCTGAATTTTGTGATATTTGTGATCTTTTTCAATTTCTTCAATGTCGTAATTTGTTTCCTTATTCTAAATAACCACTTTTTCCACCTGATTTTTTTTATTCGTAAGTCTGTGTTCTATTTTTAAGGTGATTAATCTCAGCCTCTACAAACCTATATCCGCATAAACATGTGGATTACACAAAGAAATACTCAAGGGCTGTGTTTCATGTACTCATTGTTTTAACATATACATCTTCCAGTATTTTCCTGAGGAAAAGGTGTCTGGGAGACTATTTGTGTGTGTGTGTGTGTGCACATGCGTGCATTTTCTACCTTTACCTTTTAACTTGGTAGTTTGTCTGGATATTCTGAATTCCAAGATGGAATTTATCTTCCTTCATAATTTTGAAGATATATTTTTTAATATTTACTTTTTAGTTTTAGGTGGACACAATATCCTTATTTTACATTTATGTGGTGCTGAGGATCAAACCCAGTGCCTCGTGCGTGCTAGGCAAGCGCTCTACCACTGAGCCACAACCCCAGCCCCCAGAATTTTGAATATATTGATTCTTGTCTTTCAGCTTCCAGTGTTGTTCTGGAGAAAGTCAAAACCATGTTGATTTTTGTTCTTGTCTGTGAGGTCCATTTCTTACCTCTGAAAGTCACAGCCCTCTTTGTCCCTAGGTTTCTGAAATTTCAACACAGTACTTTGATGTGAGCCTACGTGATCCACTGTTCAGGACATTCCATGAGTTTTCAAGTCCAGAAACTCATGTCATTCCTTCCTGGGGAACTTCTTGAATGATGTCACTGATGTTGTCTTCTCCTCTATTTAATCTGTTCTCTTTTTTTTCTAGAAAACCCACTGTATACACATTGGGGCTCCTGAGCTGTGCTTAATCTATCTACCTATTTATTATTTTTTTTGGCAATCGGGATTGAATCCTGGGTCATAGGCATGATACACCACTGAACTACACTGCCAACCTCTCTTTTTTATATCATTTTTTTAATTTCCAAAAACTATTACTATTAATTTTTTTTATTACATCCTGTTCCTACTTCATAGATAATTTCTTTCTGAGAAAGTTGATCATGTTTTTGTTTGCTTTGCTTTGTTTTCTTTTCTCCTTGTACTCTCTCTTTCTTCCATGTGACTTTTTTTTTTTTTTTTTTGGTTTGGTTAATTCATTGGATTTTTTTTTTTTTCTATTCTTTTTCCTCTGTTAGACACTTTCCTGAGTTGTCAGATCTGATCAGATTTAAAAGTGAGAGATTAAGCAGCTGTGTCAGCTGGCTTGCCCAATGGGAGCCTCATGGTAGGGAGCCCTTCAACCTGTGGAGGGGGTCAATGTCTATATCTTTTGGTCTTTCCTCTTGTGATCCTCAAACTCCCTAAAAGAAGATGAGAAGATTCTTTCATGTCCAGTATGGATGGTCAAGCCCCTTCATCCCGTTCTAGGAGGCTAGCTGGGAAGGGGAGGGAGGTTCTCAGCAGTCAGACACAGATGCAAATGTTCTCTTTTATCTACCGGTTTTCAGAATGTTTCCTGGGCCTTTAGCTAGCCCTCAGCCCAGATTCCGACATTTCAGTCTTCCTAGAAAACCACACTCAGACTTCTGGGATGCGGGAGGGACAGCTGCCCAGCCAGAAGGAAATCAGGCAGGGTTCCGGGAGCTACTAACTATGGTACTTCTCAAACAGTTTTCTCCCAGTCTTCTTCTTCACCTTCCATCTCCAGAACTGGAACTGTCCTTTCGTGAGGGTTTTGGTTTTGCTTGTTTGTCTTTTGAGGACTTCACAGTGTCAACTCTGTCATTTCTCAGTTTTCGCCTATTCAAACAGGGTTTTGGCACCTCTGAGTTCCGAAGGCAGGTGCGTACCGTCTGTCCCTCTGCTTTCTAGCTTCTGAGATGATTTTGCTGCTGTCTTCTCTCTGTTCTCCCTCTCTGGGTAGTGAAAGAAGAGTGACCACAACACTCGGAGCAACCAAAAGATCTTTATTGCAGCAGTGCAACAAAGAGAAAGGAAAGAAGGAAAGAAGGAGAGAGAGAGAGAAAAAAAAAGAGGAGAGATGAAGAGGGAGAGAGCAAGAGCAAGAGAGAGACAGAGAGCAAGAGAGAGGGGGGCCTGGCAGGAGGGAGTTTTTATAGCCCAAATCTAATGGGGCCTCTGGGTCTGCAAGCTGCCTTGTTGGCCCAAGGGGGGTTGAGTGCTCAGCCTTGAGGGGGGTTGAATGTTCAGACTTGAGGCAAACAGGTGATAAAGGACCAGATAGAGGGAGGGTTTGAGTGTGTGGGCTATCTTGCAGCCAACATCTGTTCAGCCTGCCCTGCAGACAACACAGTTCAGCCTGCTCTGCACCCAACAGGTAGGATTATAAATTTTCAAAAATCCCTACTTTTGTAGCCTTTGTAGTTTTCACAAAGATCAAAATTTAGAAGGGATGGTTTATTTTCAAAATCATCTCTCCATCTGTCATTCTTCTCTAGTGATGGATGATAACTGCCTGAATTTCTCTCCAGTTCAGAAATACACTCTTCAAATCGATTCCTTCTATTCCTCCATGCTTGTAAACACGAAACAGATCCATACCTTTAGAAGGGGACAGATTGATAGATAAGGATGAATAAGAACAGGAGGTGAAGAGAACAATAAGATGAGCCCACTGTATTGACTCCCCACACAGTTTCTTTGCCAAAAGGCGATCAGTTTGCAGCACCACCTGGCCTGAGGGGGCAGGATATGAAACACCCTTCAACAAACTGACAAACTGAGGTGGGGGCAAAGGTCAGGCAGTCATTGTAGGTAATCAATGATGGGGGGTTGAGAAGATGAAGGCTGGTTATCAAAGAAAAGACAAAGGGTTGCTCTCAGCTAGCCTCTGGGATTGCACTTCCTGGCACCTGGAGTCTTTTGTGTTCCTGATTCTTCCTGCCCCTATGTTCCTAAGGAGAAGAAAGAGAAACTGTGTGTGTATAGGGGAGGGGGGATCCTGGGGTCCATAACAGAGCAAGACACACCCGAAGAAGTCCTTTGTCCCTATTTCTTTCTTAAATAAAACTTACTTTCTGTGCTTTCTTCCGTTTTGTGAGTGTTTAATCTTCCACTGCCGGAAAAAGGACCGGTTCCTGATATCCGAGACCAGTATCACCTTGGCAATGCTTTGTTCACATTCCACTCCAAGAACCAAGAGATTATTTTAGAACATCTTGCCTTCAACTATGGAATTGGGCTGACACACAGGATGCTGAAAACCTTCCTACTATTCTCTCTTTGCTGCCATTGTCCAGACTACCACTAATACTTCACATTTGGAAACTATTATTATTATTTTTTTTTTAGTTGTAAACGGACACAATATCTTTTCATTTATTTATTTTTTAATGGTGCTGAGGATCGAACCCAGTGCCTCTCAAGTGTGAGGCAAGCCCACTACCACTGAGCTACAGCCCCAACCCCACATCTGGGAATTTTTGAATCTCATGCCATGTTCAAAAAGTTGGTATCAACTATTCCAAGGAGGTCTGTTAATCAAACCTTGGAGAAGTGAAACAATTAGTCCCTTAGGTGTGACTTGTCAAGCAAGACTTCTGCTATTTTGAACTCAATGTCCTACTTTCTTCTTATTGTTGTTGTAGTGGTTGTTACTATATGTGGGATATAGCATATAGAGTTATGGTTATGAGGAGAGGATGCTGGGATATCTATGTCTGCTCAGAATTAGGGAAAAAGACAACACCTGCTTTCTTCCTCCTGATCAGCATAAAAATTGCTAAAGGGTGTTCAGGTTTTTTTCTCAAGATCTCTTACTCTTAAGGAATTTTCCCTCGGTTCAGCCAGAATAACCAAGAGCCTCCCTATTTTTCATCCTCTTCCTTTCCTCTAGGCCTCAGTTTCCCCAGAGATCTGCTCAGTGAGGGAAGTGGCCTAGAATTTAAAAGTTTAAGGTCCACTGTAGCTTCTAGGTTCCTCCTTAGGTAGGGCTGTTTGGACATCTCTGCCTCTCTACTGTGGGCTCCTGAGGGACAGGTTTACTTGATTCTTATTCCTGACCATGCATAGAAGGAAGGGGGTGGGGCTCCTAAGGGACTGACTTCTCACCTCTGTTGACCATAGGGTTAAGGCCGCTGGAGGGGCTCAGTGTCCTTAAGAATTCAAGAGAAGTGCCATTCCTTGCCAGTAATCCCAGCGGCTCAGGAGGCTGAAGCAGGAGGATTTCAAGTTCAAAGCCAGCCTCAGCAACTTAGCCAGACCCCAAGCCATTCAGCAAAACACTGGTTCTCAATTAAAATGTAAAAATGGGCTATGGATCCTGGCTCAGTGGTTAAGCGCCTCTGGATTCAATGCCTTATATATACATATAAAAAAAAAATCCAGACCGCCGACATTGTTTTGGGGGACTGGCCCAGCCTCTGTCTACCATGGACACAGGCAGCCCAAGGAGTCATCAAGTCATTTTGGCCAAACACTGGTCTGCCAGCCAAGAGTTCCTCAAGCATCCACTGTCTCTCCCTTTGGCCCTGTGATCCAACATTTACTATGTGGCCTGCAGGGTGAAACCCATAGCACCTCTGGTGCCAGAGGTAGGGGGCACAGCTGCAGCTGGTGCTATGCACAGTACTCCCTTGTTCAGGGAGGGCACGTTCACAACTCAATTCAGGGACCTGAGGGCCTGTTCACGTTTCTTCTCTAACCTTTCCAGCCTCACGTTTTCTCTCACTCATTCATTCTTCAAAAAATCAATACCAGGAGTTAGTGGTGTAGCTCAGTGGTACAGCACTTGCCTAGCATGGAAGAGGCCCTAGTTTCTATCTCCAGACTACACACACACACAACCACAAAATTTCAACACAACAACTCTGTGAAACTCATCCTGCACTGCCAAATCCTTCCTTTAATTTACCAACTGACCTGGTGACCCTGGGCCAGTCACCCAACACAGCAAGTCTGTCTGCTTGTAACGGAAGGGTTGCTGTGAGCATTAGAAACTAGCAGGCGAAGTGCCTGGGGTAGGCTGCAGGCTCATGGTCTTGCAAAGAGAAGCCCTAACACCGACTTGATGCCTGGTGAGCCTCAAAGCCAAATAGTAGGAGAGAAAGCACAGGAAGCCAAGACTCAGGTGACCCACGAGTATGATTCCCTTCCAAAGCGGCACACCTGGACAGCGAAGAGAAGTCGGATTGACTTTCCCGAAGGGAGGCCTTCGCACCTTTGGACTAAGAGATCTGATCATTCTTAGCTTTGGGAAAGAGGACTAAGCCTGGGAAGATGGAGACAAGTCCGACGTAATGCCACATTGGGTAGGAAGGAACCCAGCTACAGCGCCTAGGACGTCCCCACACCGGGTGGCTGAGGCAGGAAGGGGAGGAGGAGAGAGAGGAAGCACCGGTCAGGTCAGCGGCGCTCCAGCTGCGCAGGGCGGAGCCTGGGCTGGTCCGCCTGCGCGCAGGTGAGCTAGCCAGGGCGGAGCGCGGCGGACCGGGTGCCAGGCTCCGGCGCCCGCGGCCGCCGCTCCGAATCACAGTCTATAGTTGTTTTCCCCATCAAGGGCGCCCCAGAGCCATGGCTGGCCAGAACTGCAGGGTCACCGTTGTACTGCTGGGGGGCCTGCTACTGCTTGCGGTGCGCCTGATGCGCGGGGCAGGTGAGTGCGGGGCTCGCGGCTGGGGTGGCGCCGAGCTGTGGGGCGGGCTCTCCGGCCCGCGCTAGGCGGCGAGGGTGCTGAGGAGTACCGGGTGCGGAGAATGCAGAATGGGATGGCGCGGCAGCTCAGTCGGGGTGCTCTGGTGGGACTGGATCCCCAGGACAGCCCGGCTCCTGCTCGCTCCTCATCGGGCGCCGTGGCGGTGCCCTCCTGGGTTCCAGCGACCTAGCCCTGGGCTCAGGCCGTGGCACGTGGGAGTGTCTGGGACCCAGAGCCTCTCGGACTGAGTGGATGAGCTCGACGCTGGCCGAAGGGGGAAAGGCGCGCCGAAGCTTAGCTCTGGGAACATGCCCGAGGGGGCGAGCTGTGCGTCCTGGGGGCTTTGCTGGGATTCTTGGGGAGAACCACGCCGGGTGTGGGGAGAGAGCTTTCCGCTCCTAGCGCTCTACCTCCTCAACTGGGCCAAGGAGAAAGAAAACAGTGGTCGGACGTACGATTTCCCATCAGATCGCCTCCTTTTACCCTTCCGCCAGCCCCCCAGAAGTTCAACAGTGTTAATTCGAAATGAAAGCGCCAGGTAGGAGAAAGCTGCCAGGGTCTGCGCCCCAAGGCCAGACCTTCCTCCTGCCCCTGGCATCTCTGTGTAGTGGACTTTGACTGCAGCTTTGGGTAGTTTCGGGGTGAACTTAGGCTAGTTCAGTTTGGGAGGAGGGGCCGCCAAGAGGTCTGTGCCAGTGAGGACGTGCTCTGGAAGTTTTAGAACATAGTAAATAATCTGGTGTCTTCATGTAAGGACTTGAAATGAGGTCTTTTCTGAGACTAGCACAGGTTTTGTGTCTTTGAAGGAGACCTATCCAGGAAGTGATTTGGGCTTTCGATATCATTTGCCGCACCTAAGCGGGTGTTTATGTTTGACATGCAGATAAACTAGGGTAAATTAAAGAATGAAACTAAACCTTGAGGTTGAACTTGGACGTGACAGTGACAATCATCGTTACAAACCCAAGGCAGGAAAGTTTCCCGATTTCTTTCTCCAACATTAGGTGACATTACTGCACAATAGATAGAAAAGATTTAAGACATTGAATACATATTTACTGTAATATCATAGGACTGAAGTTCAAGATCCCATTTGTAGAGAAAGAAATCAGTTTAAGAGTAAAAAATGGCTTAGGGAGTGAAGATGGGTATAAGTGTGTTAGAGAAAAGTGTGTGTCTACACACATTCTTGGAACTGTGTTGAAAATTGTGTGAGATGTCTCCTCTAACTTTCTGTGGTAACAGAAAGAACTTGTCCATGGAAATATGGTGTAAATCAAGGCATTGTGGATGACAAAATGATAATCTATCTTGAACTGGCTTGTTACATGTCCAGAAAGTTCTTGAGGGGCTGAGCTCTGTGTGATGGTTTGGTGTATAAAAACCACAAAGCCTAGTAACTTCCCCAATTCACTTTCTTAAATTCCTCCCTATTACCTCAGGAACAGACTCTGAGAACCCGTGGTGATGCTCACTTGAGGGCTTTTGTGTTGGGAATAGAACTTAGCAGCAGTACATCTGATTTGCCTGGAGTTGTGGGGTGTATCTAACTGGTGGAGGCCTTTGGGAAGTTATTGGAGTCTATCTTGCAAGGACAGAGAAAGCCAGAGCCCTCTCTCTCTCACTGTGGATTTGTTTGATAAACTCCTGAACTCTCTGAAGAAAGACTTAGCAGAGTGGAAATGGACTTGGTATCTCCGTGCAACTGAAAATATAGGACAATTGTGTTTTGATAGGGTGTGTGGGTGAGACTTTGGTATTCCCACCAACTCCCCCACTTCCAGGAATGAAGCACTGATTGAGTTGGAATCATAACCTTGTTAAAACCTTAACTTGGTTGCTCTCCAAGAACTGATACCAGAGTCTGGTTCAGTGACCCCAGTGTTACTGCATTGTTTCCTCCAAAAGATGCAGGCAGACGGATCAAATGCTGTGTTTGTTCACCTCGGGTGAGTGTGTGTGTTCGTCATTCTTCAGATTCAAAAGAGGAACTGCTGGCTGGTATCTGGAATGTGTAACAGGCAGGACTGATGAGTCCCACCAGCCCTCCTCCATACCCCACAGATTTGTACGAGAGTCACAGGAAAGGGCTGTTCTGCCAGTCATAGATGTGTGCTGGGGCTTACCTGTCAGCCCTGGTTCGCCTCAGGTACTGTCATTCCATCTGTGATGACTGCACCCACCCACACACATGCTCTTCTGAAGGTTCTCCCTGGCTATCAGTGTAAAAGAAGGATGTTAAAAACAATACTTAAAAACAACACATTTTGAGTAGCACAGAGTTATCACAGAAAAGTTGGCCATAAATATAACTCAAATGGAAAAAAAAATCATCTGTGAGCACACCACCTTGTTCATTTGGATGCAGTCTTTTCATCAAGTGTGTGCATAAACTAAAAATGGGAAAACCTCATTGTATGGCTTTAACTAGTCCCCTATTGTTGGGCATTTAGGTTGCTTCTAATTTTTTTTCTATTTAAAATAGAGCATATTCAACAGTGGGGGACTGCTTATATTAATTTTGACAGGTCTAGTCCATGAAAAGTTCTTACAAATTTTGTCATGTAGACGACATAATGATATAACAATGTAATCATGTTGCCAAGGATATAAAATAGTATGTTGTAGAAACTGGATTATTCTATTTTGATTTATCTGAGAACGTTTTTGTGGCTATGTTGCTCTGAAGATTATTTTATTTAATTAATTGATTGATTTTTAGAGACAGGTCTTGCTAAATTGCTGAGGGGGGGCTCAAACTTGTGATCCTCCTGCCTCAGTAGTCTTCAGAGTCACTGAGCTTATATTGCTCCCAGCTGTTTTGCACATTCTTGACGATTTGGTCCAGCTAAAATTCTGGAAGTAGAGTTGCTGGGGTGAGGAGGGAGTCTTAGGGCTTCAGATGCACGTTTCTATGTTGCTACGGCAAGGTTATCCTCTTGTCCTGCCGTATCCTCCAGCCGTTGCTGTGTGAGTACCTGTTTCTCACACCTTCCCAGGCTGTCACTGGGGTCGCTTCACCAACATCCATGAAAGTCCTCCCTAGTTCAGCAGGCAGTCTGAGCAGGGTTGTTAGATGCTCAAGAGTCTGAGGAACTCCCTCCATCTAGGTAGTATTAGTAGCCCCAAAGAAAATAGATCTGCAACCCTTGGCTTATAACACAAGTCTCACCTGCATTTTTGCCCAGTAGTGCTGACTGGGGTTTGGATGGGGTGGGGAGGTAGAGGTGACAGAGCAATTTGCTGGCTAGAAGGACCGCTGATGGAGGTTGGCATGGATGGGGCAGTAGGAGATGACAAGACCTCTGATGGGGGGAACCCATGGCTGAATCTGTCAGCCTTGGTGAGTAAGGAAAAATTCATACCCTTTAATTATCATTCTAAATTATAAAAATTTTATTCCACAATCAAATTATTTCAAACCACTTACCACAACCTTGTAATTAGCCCATCACCTTCTCCCGGCAGCTGGAAGCATTCTAGACAACCAGGCCAGGACAGCCGGGTTCCTTCCCTCACCTCTTTCTAGCCTTGGATTTCTACTGGGTGCAACAGTTTTTAAAATCACTGACGACCACTGCTCCTTGTGACACAGATGCATATTGAGCATTTTTTGCATGTGAGCATCTTCTGTTTTGCATGTGAGCATCTCCCACGTAACATCAGTAACCTATTCCTGAAAACCAGGCATTCGGCATGAAAACACCAACTCTCTACATCTCATTCTTTGGTGTGGGGAAAAAATCTAACCACCCACACTGCACAGCAATACAAGTTAAACCCCCAGCAGTTTCGGAAAGAATAATGAAACATAAAGAGATACATATATGTAACTAGCAACTAATCCTATTGAATGTAAAATGCATAAGAAATCCCTTAGAGACTTCCAGGGCATTTATGTGATTGTCCACAGTCAGCTGCTCTGTGTGCGGTGACCCCACTGTACCTCCCTTTGTTGACATGCCAGTGTCTCTTCTTGCTCCTGATGTTTTGGTCCCATTGTATTTGGAATGCAAGTCAAGACTACCTGTGCATTGTTTTGTTTAAAGTGCTGTGTTTGAAGATGTAAATGTATTTGTTTCCAAAATAGAACATTGGGGCTGGGGATGTGGCTCAAGCGGTAGCGCGCTCACCTGGCGTGCCTGCGGCCCGGGTTCTATCCTCAGCACCACATATAAACAAAGATGTTGTGTCCGCCAATAACTGAAAAATAAATATTAAAATTCTCTCTCTCTCCTCTCTCTCTCCCTCTCTCACTCTCTCTTTAAAAATAAAAAAAAAAAAAAAAAGAACATTGGCCAAAAATTACTTTTTTTTTTTTTTTTTTGTAGTACTGGGGATTGTACTCAGGGCCTTGAGTATGCAAAGCAAGCACTCTACCTCTTAGTTGCAGAAGTAGCACATCCGCCCTTCTTATTTTTTAATTTCGAGACAAGTTTTCAGTAAATGACCCAGGCTGACCCAGGCTGACACATGATCCTCCTGCCTTGACCTTCTGAGTAGCTGGGATTACAGGAGTGCATGGCTATGCCCCGGCAAAAATAATTTTGATGGATGAAATCGAAGTTCTACAATAAGTAATAAAAATGATGCCATTTTCTCCTGAGAAAATATAGATAAAACTCTTAAGTAGGCCTCTGGGTTGTGCCACTCTCTGTTTTCAAGCACGTACTGCTACTAACTTCCCTTGAGTAGGCACAGAGAGGTGAAGTGACCAGCCCAGGGCCACCCAGCTGCAATGGAGTGATGTTGAGGCATCCAGAGAGTCTGACTCCAGAACCAGCTCCCAACACAGTGAGCTGTGCCTCACACACCGTGGGCCTCGAAGGCACATGTGCTTGTCAGCTTAGAGACATTCACTGAGCTCCAGAACTTTCTTTTTTAAAAAAATTGCCCAGCACAGTGGCATACACCTGTAATCCCAGCAATTTGGGTGGCTGAAACAGGTGGATTGTAAGTTC